GTCCTCAGCTCATGTCAGGGCCAGAAGCAGCAGTTTTCAGAGCCCTGTCCCTGAGCCTTCCATAGCAGATGGTCCTGGGGACCATTATACAACAAGTGGATACTGTGGGAGACTAGGGTGACAAATGATGGCTCATTCTGCCTGTGGCTGGCTGGTACAAACTCCACAGGTGGCACCCTGGGCATCCCCCAAGGAAGCGGGACACTTTAGCTGCAGTGAGGCAATGGGAATGGTGGCGACAGGGATGTACTGGGCCTGAGATGAAGCCAGTCTGCAGAGCAGGGATACCTTAGACCCTAGAGAAGGCCAGCCTGCAGGGTGGGGATGCCCTGGGCCCTAGAGGAGGCTAGCCTGCAGGGGTTGAGGGAGCTAGAGCTTAGAGGAGGCCAGCCTGTAGGATGGGGACACTCTGGACCCTGACACTGTAACAAGTCTGGGATGGAAGCTCCAGAAAGGAAGACAGGAGGGAAACTTGGATGGATGGCTTGTGAGCAGAAACAGATATGATGACACTGAAATGTCTAAACAGTGTCCAGGGAGCCAGACTTGCTGGGGAAGAGAGCAGAGCTGAGTATCTGGTGAGATGATAGGAAGCCACCTAGTGGAAGGCACTGAGTGATGGATAGAGATGGAGGGGAGGGGATGGAATTGTGGAACCTTAGGGTGGGGCAAACAGAATGCAGAAAGTAGATAGGACTTGCAGAGATGATGGTGAACTTGGATTTTTCAGGCACCTTCAGGTCTCTTTGGAGCTGGGGAGGGCCAAGGTCCCATCTCAGGAAACATCAGCTTTGTGACTCACTAGATGGCAGGTCCTTGCAAACACAGACCTAGACCCCCAAGACCTTATCCCAAAGCTGGAGCATACTCATGTGCTTCCTGGGATGGCCAAAGCCAACTTGCATAGTTCTCAATAAGAATGCAGGCAGGGCCCAGCCAGTGTGGGGCAGCCACACAGTCCTCCCTGTCCTTCCTCTGCAGACCAACCTCTGCCCTCTCTGTGAGCAACCTCAGTGCCCGCCACAGCCCTGGCTCCCCTTCCACTTCAGAAACCTGAGAATGTCTGGCTTTTGGTGGGTGCCACCTCCCACCCACAGCTTCCTAGTAGCCCAAGTCGAGGAAAGCCCCTTCCTCTCTGTGGTCAGGGCAGCTATGAAAGCAAGCCAGTCCCCTGAGTTGGAAGGTCCTGGTGCTGTAGCTGGTGGAGACATTGGGATGGCTCCAGGGTAGAGTGGGCTCTCTGGTTGACTCCTGAACAGTCATCTTCTGTCATTTCTGGGCTGAGACCTGGGCCCATCCACCCTGCTCCTCAATGAGTTCCTACTTTGTATCAGGCAGTGTATTGAGCCAGGAAAACATAGAGGCAGCAGATGGTGGCTATGTCCTCAGTAGCCCCCAGCCTGCTGGGGAGGCAGTCAGTAAGGCAAACACCACAGAGGGAATGCTTCCATGTGATACAGGGGGGAAATTTGCAATCAAGTTGCTGGACCCAGACCCCAGGGTAGATGGGGAAGAAAGATGTGTTCTTGAGCTGACAGTTAAATAGGAAGAATTAACATAACAAGAAGGGAGGGCAAGGAACAGCATTCATTTTTTTTTTTTCTTTCTTTTTTTGTTTTTTGAGACAAAGTCTCCCTGTAGCCCCAGCTGTCCAGGAGTTCACTATGTAGACCAGGCTGGCCTTGAACTCACAAAGATCTACCTGCCTCTGCCTCCTAAGTGCTGGGATTAAAGGCATGCACCACAGAGCCCTGGGGCAGCTGATGAGGGTAGTGGAACACCATTACTTGATACTTGGTCAATGTCTGGAAATTGGACTGCTGCCCTGAATGACAGCTGCTTATGAATCCTGGGCCCAGAGTACTAATAACTCTAGCCTTACACAACGCTCTGTGACCCTGAGCCAGATACTGCTCCTCTTTGAGGTTTTTGATATACCCTAACCCCTTTATTCACTCTGTTCTGATCCGTGAATACTTGGAGCCTTTGCCCTAGCTGTTCCTATCACCCCTTCTGCACGTCAGTCAGACCACAGCATGGACGTCACCTCTCCAGACACTGGCCTGGCCACCCACATTGCCTGATTCTCCCTCTCTCTATTACATCACCTTACTGCATTGTTGCCCAGCTCATGCAATCTCACATCTCCTGTTGGTTCGTCTGCTTGTCTGTTGTCTGTCTGCCCCTTGCCCTGGAGCTCAGTGTCTCTGGGGACTCTCGCAGTTGTCAGCCAAGTTGCAGAGGTGGGGAGGTAGAGGGGACCAGGAAGATGCTCCTGCCCTGGGGTCCAGCAGGCCTGAATTCTAGCCATGCTTGGCCCCAGTTTCTGGCTCGCAGTTTTTGTCTACAAAGAAGGTCCTATCTTCTGCAAAGTCCTGCACTGGGTTCCATCTTGACTCCTATTGCAGAAAATTGGAATAGCTAGGGACTGATCAGGTCGAGCTCACCTGCTTTTGTTTCTTTTCTGGCAATGCTAAGTGTCAGCGCCAGGGCCTGACTCATACTAGATGAGTCTCTTACCACTGAGCTACATCCCCAGGATTCCCACTTTTATAGGAAAAAAAAAAGAACACAAAATTTATTACATGCCTTAAAGTATAGCTGTATTAAAATCTAAGTTCCTTGGTTTCCCTTGCCATTGGCCCATAGATTCCTCTCCCAAGGAGAGAGCTGCTGACCTGGTGGGAGCTTGCTCTCCTGGGGTTCCCAGGTAAACTCTAAACCAAAATCTGTCAGAATGCAGGGTTGGCACACATCAAGTTGTAAGCTCTGTCTCAGTTATGTTCTGCTGTGGCCTTGTGCATTTCACAGACGAGAAATCAAGGCTGAGATCCTTAACTTGCCCATCTTTCAGACAGACAGGAGGGGTCTGAGAGGAGACTGAATTGGCCAGGTTAGCAGGCCTCTACTGCTCTGCCTCCCACCCTGTCCTGTGCTCTGTGCATTCTTGAGGACCTACCACAGGGCTTGGCAGGGTATTGATGGCAGGGGTGTGACTGTGAACTCACATCAATTCATTCCACACACACTCACAGTATCTACTTCCATCAAGGCACTGGGCAGACCTCCCACCCTACACAAGTAAGGATACACTGGTTGATCTGGCTGTGTGCACGTGACAGACCAGTGCAAAAACACATACCATTCCCATACACATATATGACCACCCAAAACACATTCATAAGCATCTGTTACTAACATTCAGGCTTCAAGATGAGGCAAAAAAAGCAACACACGCCTGGTGTGGTGGTGCACGCCTTTAATCCAGCACTTGGGAGGCAGAAGCAGGCGGATCTCTGTGAGTTCGAGGCCAGCCTGATCTACATAGTGAGTTCCAGGACAGCTGGGGCTACAGGGAGATGTCTCTGTCTCAAAAAGACCAAAAAAAAAAAAAAGAAAAAAAAGCAGCACACACTCATCAGCACACACATCTGAACACACACATCAGCACACACACCCGTTTGGAGCACACACCCATCAGTGCATACACATTGACACGCACACCTGTCAGAACACACACACATCAGTGCACAAACACATCAGTGCACACATCCATCCAAAGACTATACCCAGTGGCACACATACTCATTGGTATACACATACATCAACACACACACACACATCAGCACACACATACATCCTCACACCATGCCAAGTGGCATACATACCCATCAGTGCACACGCACATATCAGCACACACATCAACACACGCACATCTACATACTATACTCACATACTCATCAGCACACATTAGCGCACACACATCATCATATGCCCAGTGCCACAAACACCCATCAGAACACACAACCATCAGAACATGTCCATCAACATATATAACCCATCAGGACATACTCAATAACACACCCGTAACCCAGACAGCAGCAGGTGTCCACATAATCTAGCCTTCCTCCTTGCTCTGAGTTCTTCCATCTCTCCTCCTCCTGCTCTTCCTCCTTCTCTTCCTTCTCTTCCTTCTCCTCCTCCTCAGCTTCTCCTGGGAGTCCTACCTACCAGTGCAGCCATGTGAAAAGCCAGGTGGTGTGTGCATCTGTAACCTCAGTGCTGGGGAGGCAGAGACAGACCATCACTGGAGCTCATTGACCAGCCAGCCTAGCAGAATCACAGAGCTTCAGGTTCAGTGGCAGACCCTGTCTCAGAAGATAAGGTGGGACATGATTGAGGAAGACACCCAATGTTGATCTCTGATCTCCACATGTGCATACCACATGAACATATATGCACCCCCCCCCCACACACACACACAAAAGCTAAGGAAGGGAGATGCTCTACAGCTAGAGCCCTGCTGGCTATGGCATGCGATTTCCCTTCATGGGTCTACTTCTTAGACCTCCAACCCATCAGTGAACAGGGACCCTGTCAGCCTTGCTCCCCCCACCCCCGAAATCCTCTCCCATAAGAAAAGACAGACACCAGCTTTAGAAACTAGGAAAATTTTAAATAAATTTTAGCAAAATATTAACATTAAATATACATTATAAATAATCCTTATAAATATGAAACTGATTAAAAATGAATAAAATCAATAAATTAGTCATGTCCCTGCAAGAATTGCCCAGAGGTTTCTGGGTCCCCCTCCAAGTTTCAACATGTGAAAATCCCATAATGGTCCACCAGGGGGAGCACTGAGCAGTGAGGACCTTGGTCTTGCTGGTGCTAAGCTGTCCCACTAAGAGAATGCAGTGCCAAACCACCCCAAGACCATTTGCACCGTATGTCCTGATTCACAGAGACTTTGATGTCCACCCAATGTCAGAGTCCCAGCAGCTGACAGTCAGAGAGGGCATTACATACACACACACACACACACACACACACACACACACAGAGCATTCCAATGAGAAAATTGAGGTCCAGAGAGGTAAAGTGACCCACCCAAGCTCACACGGAGAGCTGAGGCACAAACTAGAGTCTATGCTCAATTCCCTTGCACCTACAGATCAGTACTCCTTCTAGGACACCCTGCCCCTGTCACAGATGCCTAAAGTGAGGTCACCCAGATGTCCAGGTGTCTGGGCTGAGCAGCGATGAGGCATAGGCTAGCTCAGGGCTTGACCTCCCCCTTGGAACCCTGCCACCACAGAAAGGAGGAAGTCTGGGGGTAACAACCCTTAAGTCATGAGAGAGAATGGCCGGCAGGCCTTGGTGGGGGGGGCGGGTGTCAGCCCAGTTGTGAGTCAGCTTGTGTCATCAGACCCCTGAATCAATGGAAAGTCGGCCTTGCATGGTCTGATCTGGCCACCCCACTAGGACTGGGAAACTGGAGGCTTGGGGTGGGGAAGTACCACAAACTGACTGTCCCTTAAAGTGCTCTTCTGCATAGCCCAGGAGGAAAGAGCAGAAGACCTCTAGAGGCAGCACCCTGCATCCCCAGAGTGTGCTGTGTCCTTCAGTGTATCCTCAGGCTACCAGGGAAGCTGACTCCTGGGCATGGGCCTCTGGCTGCTCCTGGAGTGTCTGAACCCGTGAGCTCTCTTGTGCAGGGCCCGTCGTGGGCTGTGTCTCCGGCTGCGGCTCAAACTGTCCCCCCACTCACTGAAAACCCGCCCCACTGAGCCCATGAAGGAGTGGTACCCCCACAGGAAGCGGCAGCTGTCCAGCTTGGCCTGAAAGGTGTCTGATGTTGGGGCAGGGGATAACAAGGCCCTAGAGCTTGTCTGTGTGGGTTCAAGTGTCTTCTGGGATCTGCGGAGCAGCCAGCTCATGCAGTACACATTGTTTCGGATGCCCCGGATCTTGTACTCAGCATTCTCCAGCTGCGGGAAGTTCTGAGTCCTCACAAATTGCTGCTTTAAAGCCTCCACTCGGTGCTGGACTTGGCCCAGCATGGTGTCGATGGTGTGCAAGAAGTCCAGCTTGCTCAGTGCCCGCAGGGCATCCTCACTTGGGAAGGCTGCAGGGTGCTCTGTGCAGGACTTCCTCAGAGTTGTGGTGTTCAAGCTTTGGTGGTGCATCTGAGGAAGCAAGAGAGTGAGGAGCGCACGCCAAAGTCCCTGAACACACACACACACACACACACACACACACACACACACACACTCACACACACACACACACACAGACAAGTCTGTCCTCACTGCCCTTGAAACACTAGACCTGCCTCATTGGCTCCCTGTGTGATCATCTCAATGGAAAGATGCAAAAAAGAATACTGACATCACCAAAGATGGGGTGGGAGGGTTGCCAGGGCCCTGAGGGTGACTGTGCATGTGGTAGATGGGGGTGAGGGTATGCAAGTGTGGAGGAAGGCTGGAGAGTAGGCTGATTCACTCAACTGCTACATCTGGGCACCTAGAACAAGGCACTAAACCTATCAGACAGCAGATGAATAGAGTTGGAATAACTCAGAGACTAAGTTTCCCCACCCACCCTTCCTGATCACTCTCTCACTAGCTCTTAAGGCTCTTGGACGCTTGGGTACCCTAGAGGTTTGGGTGCTTACATATGGCTCTGCGAGTGATCTGGGGTCCTCTGTGTCGTTTGCCAGTCTCTGCAGCTGGCTGAGGAGCATCTGGTAAGAGCTGGAACAGCCAGGCATAGCCAATGCCGCGCTCAGGAGCAGGAGGCTGAGGACTAGACCTGGGGCAGAGAAGGGTATGGTCACCTGACTTGGAGAGGAAGCCAGGGACCTGGGGGAAGGTATGGCCACTTGTGCCTGGTTGTGCAGCCTAGGGCAGGAGCTGGGCATGCAATAGGCACTGGGTCCTCAAAGTACACTCACTGGGACTGCCACCACTTTCCTAGTGAGTCACCATGAAGACCAAACAGGGTGGGAGGGACCAGCAGTGGCTGCAGTTACCTAGCAGTTCTTTGCTAAGAGGCTGAGCATAAGTTTGCCCATGCCCCTGTCTCTGTCCTGACCTGGGGGTGGGAGGCGCAATGGGCAGACAGGGCAAGAGTCCTCTGTCAGACTTCTGGCCTAAGGACTGACCTTGACCTAAGACCCTGACTCATCAGTCCCCTTACCCCTGTAACAGGCTCTTGTACTCCGTGTAGGTGGACTGGAGCTAGCCTGGTGGGCAGCCCCAGAGCAGTAGGTGCCCCAAGCTCTGTGCACAGAGCCAAGGACACTTCTCTGCCCAAAGGGCCAGTCAGTGTTTATACTCACTTGACTGAAAGGTAAGCCAGGTCACAAGAGAAAATCCTGCCCAGGTCACACAAGGCCAGTACTCTCCTCAACTTTTCTCCACAAGTGAAACCTCAGTCAGGACACCCCCACCCAGGGATGCTGGGAGCCCATGAAAAGGTTTGCAGAAGGTTGCAGGGGAGGGCTAGTATAGTTCCAGCTCACTGCCCCCCACCCCCATAGGCACTGGCAGCCACGTGGTCGGAAGGGGTTCTGTGGCGCAATGGCCCGGAAGGCCGTGACACCATCCTTCCCTTCCTATAAACGGTCCAGCCTCTTGGGGGGGACCAGCTGCTAGGGAGGGCCAGGCACCCAGGCATGCCAACCACAAGCCTCCCCCTTCCCCAGGTATCAGCAACCGCACTCTGGGTAGAGAGCCTACAAGCGAGAGAGCATGTAACGGGTGCAGAAAGGACTAGGTGGCTGCAGGGGTGTGTGGCCAGGCCTGTGTGAGGCACGGGCATCTGGCTATTCACTGGGGCCCTGGTCTGCAGGTGAGCCTTCCCAGGTAAGAGAGAGGGAGAGCCCTTGGTGATGTCATGGGCTCTGTTTGCCTGTCCCCATGTGGGTGTGCCTATAAGTGCCATGTGATTGTGGGGGTTCCAAGGCTCTAAGGTCTGGCTGACTTTCCATCCACCCTAGACCCTGAGAATCAAATCAGGCAAGAAGGTGGCCCCGTTCCAGCCATTGCTTCACTTCCTTACAGAGCTTCTGCAACTTCCTGCCCTGCCCTACACATCTTCCACCTGCCACCTGCTTCCCCAGCCTCTTCCCGCTCTATCCTCTTCCCTCATACCCTGGTCCCCAACATGGTCTCTGTGTCACCTCTCCCTGGTAACCCCCAGGGATACCCCATCTCCACCTGTAGGGATGCTAGGGTCTCAGTGGACCTCTCCATTTGCCTGACCTCCCTCTCCTCAGCATCCTTCCCTTGATGCTGATCTACAGCTCCTGAAGGTAGAGGGTACCCCACACCCGGCCAGATGGCACAGCTGTGCCCTGGGCTGGAAGAAAGGAAGGAAGTACTTACTGAGCAGAGTCTTCTGTGGGAACTGTGCCTGCATGCTGGGTGCCCGCGTTCCAGCCCGTGCCTCTTGGGGGTGACACGACTTGGCTGGTAGTCCTGCGGGCTGGCAGCCACTTTATGCCCGCTGGGTCGATTGGCCAACACCTCGTGAGGTGGGTGGGGAGGGGGAAGGGGAAGGGCAGGCCTTCTGGGAACATGACCCCAAAAACCAAAGTCTCCACAGGCGGCCAATGGGTGCCTGGCGCCACAGCATGCCCGCTCCTCCTCCTGTTTTCTTCGAATTCGTTCTTCGAGGTCAGCCCCACGCCCAAGGATGATGTAAACCGCAGCCTCAGCCTTCTTGGGGTGAGGAGCATCATGGGGGTCCCTTCCATCTTCAGCAGGTCAGTCCCAGAATGGGAAGAGAAGCTTCCAGCCAGGTTTCTGGAAGCAGTGGCCAGCCTTGGCCCAAGAGTGGCTAGCCTCACAGGACACTGAGGTTTAGGACCAAAAGGAGCCAGACATCTTCCTCGTTGAGTGCCCTTCCCACCCTCTCGCTTGGGCTGTCGGGACATCTGTGAGCGGAAACCACCCGGCTCTGGGCACAGAGCCAGACCCAGGCCAGCAGCCCCAAGATTGTGGTTCTGTCCCCAGGACCAGCATCCCCTAGCCCAACTCCCCTGTTTCCATTCCCCCGATCAGCCACCCCTTTCCGGCCTTCCCATGCCAGGTCCCCTCTCCACAGTCAGGATCTTCCAGGGAGAACTGAACAGTTGGAGCAAAAGAAACTAGAGACCAGATTTCAAGCCTTCTTATGAGCTGTGTGGCCTGAGGCAAGTAACTTAACCACTCTGAGTCTCACCAGTAAAATAAAGAGGAGAAAAGCATTTCTTGACCCACCTCACAAGGCCACCGCCAACATGGACATAAAAGGCAAAAAGGCCTTTGAAGGAAAAGAAAAGATGAAACTCAAATTCCAAGTACTAGTTTTCGGGGGACATATGGAGGGGGTGGAGAAGATGGGGAAACTGTGAGCTCAGAGGGGAAGCTGCAGGGAGGGAGCTCTGCCGTGACAGTTGGAGACCAGGTTTCACTTTCTCTGAAAGATAGCAATCATGGGTTGGTCCTTCTTAACGCTGTTGGAACATGAGAACTGAGGGGCCCTGGAGATGGTACCTCCCTTGGCAGACTACTGCTTTACTGTGGAGTCAGCTGAGGCCCAGGGTCTGACCCAGGCCTGCAGGTCATGCTTGGCAGCCCCAGCACATCTACCAGACTGGGACCAGCATCCTCAAGCAGAAATCTCAGGAGCCTAGCCAGAGGTTGCTCAAAGGAGGCTGTGGGAGGGGTCCTGGGGTTCCCTGGAACCTGGGCTGCTCCAGCTGGGGAAGCATTGCACATCCCGCTGCCACTGCGCTTGCACTCATTCAACAAACCTCTTTGGCCCAACTCCATGCCAGCCACTCACAGGAGATCAAAAGTTGGTTGGCAAAACCAACCGACTTCCATGCCAGAAGACTGCTGTCTGTGTCCCTGCCCACTCACTCCCTGGTCCAGCCAGGTGCTCACCTTGACTGGCGATTCCCCACCTTTACCAATCCCCAGCCCAGTCTAGATCTTCCTCTTGAGGTTTCCACTTCCTTCCACTGAATCCCTCGCCTCTGCCCACCCAACGGTGCTGTTCCCTGGGGCCCTGGGCAGGCAGGGCTCCTTCTGTATTTCATATCCCTGATTTCATCCTGGGACAGTCCCTGCCTCTCCCCAAGCCCTGACAGGGACCTGCCTCACTGTACTATGACTAGGATACAGAAACTCTAAGAAGCCCAGGCCTAGCTCAATGCTCAAGAGCTCACTGCCTGTCTCTGTTCCTGTCCATGGATCACCCCACTGGCAGGGGTGATCCTGTCTTCACCTCAGTCAGTCCTTCTTCCTGCCCACGGACCCTGAACTATCTCCTCTGTTTAAAAATGTCATTGCTGTACAAAGAGATGAGCTACCCTGTTTGCAGACCCCTGCAGGACTGAAAAGGCATTCATAGCTGGCCATGGCTATACATACTTATAATCCCAGCTACTCAGGAGGCTGGACAGGACTGTTAGTTAGAGGCCAGCCTGAGCTATACAGGGACACCGCCTCAAAATAAAGAGTCAGGCATGTAATGTCAGCATTTGGGAGATGGAGGCAGGAAGCTCACTCACTACAAGTTTCAGACCAGCCAGATTTATGTAACAAGACTCTGTCTCTAAATAAATAAATTCAATTAAATAAATAAGAACTACAACTTTAGACCAAGGTAAGATATTTGCTTAGATGTTTAAAACCCTGACATCATCCTACTGTTGAAGGGAAGAAACTAAAAACCTGGCCTGTCAACTTTGAAGAGCCGTGTTCTTAGCACAGGGCCAGTCAGAGCGCTGCACTGCACTGGTTCCAAGGACCACAGTCACTAAAGACAAAACCAGATTGTGTATTTGTTTGCTAGAATTGTCATGATGGTGTACAACTGTCCCTCAGTATTACAAGGAATTGGTTTCAGGGCCCCCTCCCTAAAGATACCCCAATCTACAAAGGCTCCAGTGCCATCTATAAAATGGCATAGTATTTGGGTGGAACCCACACCAGCCTCTGGCAGACATCAAACCATCTCTAGATGACTTAGAATTTCATTGCAATGCAAATGTGCTATACAAACAACCATGTTGTTGAATGAATCACAAGAAAAAAGAACGTTTGCACATGTTCCATATAGAGGAGACGACCACAGGCTCCTCTACATTTTTCATGCATACTTACTTGAATCCTCTGGTGCAGAATCTGTGGGGGGGGGCATTGCCCCACAGGCTGGGGGCCTTCAACAACAGAAATGTATTTTCCCATAGTCCTAGTGGCTGTCAGTGGGATTGGTTCCTACCCAGACCTCTCTCCTTAGCTATTTATTTATTTAGGAAGTTCTCACTGTGTAGTCCAAGCTGACCTCCAATTCACTCTGTAGTCTAGAGTGGCCTTGAATTCTCATTCCTCTTGCCTCAACCTCCCTAGAGTTGGTATTATAGACACATGTCACCTGGTCAGTGATCTTTATGCTGTGTCCTCATGTGACCATCCATTGGTTTCTGCATTTTCTGTGTCCTAATCTCTGTGTGTGTGTGTGTGTGTGTGTGTGTGTGTGTGTGTGTGTCTATTTGAGGGTGAGGGTGTGTTCCCATGCCTGTGCATGTGGAAGACAGAGGTCAGTGTTAGATGTCTTCCTCTATCACTCTTCACCTGTGTATGTATATGTGTGTGTGTGTGTGTGTGTGTGTGTGTGCGTGCTCACGTGCATGCACATGGAGGCCAGAGGAGGACATCAGGTATCCTGCTCTATCACTGTCTTATTCTATTGAGAACCTGGAGTTAGGCTGGTAGTCAACAAGCCCCAGCAACTCTTCTGCTATTTAGTGCTGGGGCTACAGGCCTGTATGAGCACACTCACCTTTTTACATGAGTTCTGGAGACTGGAATTCAGGTCCTCATGCTTACACAACAAGCACTTTTTCCATGGAGCCATCTCTTCAGAACCTAATCTTTTTAAAATAATATCAGCCATTGGGGCTGAAGAGATAGCTCAGTAGTTAAGAGCACTGGTTACTCTTGCAGAGGATCTGGGTTCAATTCCCAGCACCAACATGGTGGCTAACAACCATCCATAACTCCAGTTTCAGGGCATCTGATGCCTTCTTTTGGCCTCCATAAGTACTGCATGCACATGGTGCATTTACATACATGGAGACAAAACATTCACACACATTTAAAAAATAAAAAAAGGAAGGAAGGAAGAGACGGACTATCAGTCACACTGGATCAGAGCCCACCCAATGACTTCATTTTTCTGTTCCCGTCTTTAAAGACCCCATTTCCAAATACAGTCACATCAGAAATACTGTGAGCTAGGTAGGACTCACATCCCAACTGAGAACATGATCTAGCCTATAACAGCTTGTAAGAGGAGTCTCGAGGTTGGAGGGCAGCAGGAAGTGGGGACACCAGGGGAGGGTCCAGAGCGAGGTGCTCCACAGGGTAAGTGGGAGTGGCCCAGGTCCAGAGGCTGGCCTCAGCAGCATCAGTGCAAAGCGTGAGGGGAAGATGCGTCAGCGTTTCTGGTGAGGTCAGTGCCCAGTGACGTCCCTATCGCCAGCAGGAAAGGCTTGCAACAGCCAGTATAAATAGGATCCTCAACCACAGGGCTCGGGCTGTCCCTTCTTCCTGGGTCACGTCAGCCAGGCCCGCGTGATTTGGAGAGGAAGAGAGGATGGGTTTGTTCCTCAGAACTGCTATCTCCCAGCCTTTCCGGCCCACCCTCTGGCTGAGGGCCCTATCTCTCCAAATGCATAGACGGGACCTGTGATGGCCTGGGGTAGAATCCACTGGGCAGAGAGAGGGTGGACCCCCACCTGCTGGGTCAGAGGTGACCACCAACTCAAGTTCCAGCAGCCATTGCTTGGGAACTCAGCCTTCTGGACCCAGTCACATCCCCTCTTGGGGCCTCGGTTTCCCCTCTCTGTAAACTTTGGTGGCACAACTAAGTAACAACAAGAAAGTACAAGCAATCCAATTTGAAAATGGGCAGAAAGCTGGGTGTGGTGGCACTCAGGAGGTGGAGAAATGAGGATTGAGGCTATCCTTGGCTATGTAATGACGTTTTGGTTGTTAGCCTTAGTCTTTAACAACTGTGCCATAGCTCCAGTCCCTTGTCTACACAAAGAGTCAAGGCCAGTCTGCGCTATATGAAATCCTATCTTAAAAAAGGATGAAAGAAAAAAAAAAAAGCTTGGGATGTGTCCAGAGGTAGGGTGCTTGCCTAGCAGGCATGAGGCCCTGGGTTCCATCCCTAGCACTGAAAAAAAAGTAAAATTGGGCAAAGGGTGCTGGGGAGGGGGATTCCGTCAGTAAAGTGCTTCCTTGTAGGCATATGACCTGAATTTGATTCCCACAACCTGCATAAAAATGCCAGACATGGTGCATGCTTGTAATCCAGTGCTGGGGAGGAGGAGACAGGGAATATCTAGGGCTTACTAGCCAGCCAGTCTAGCCTAACTGGTGC